GGTGCATACTTTTTGTGTCCCTGCCAGGACTCGAACCACGAACATTCTGGTTGGGAATTAACGATCTCCCAAGGAGTGAAACCCACACCCAAAACCGTACTGAGTGCCTGGTACCTCTGAACAATCGAATGAGCTAATCCAAGCTGGATACCCTAAATTGATTGAGCCATTTCCACAAGATGATAGCCGTCGACCGTGTAGCTCAGGGGTAATGGATTTGAAGTCCCGACCGGAATGTTCACGGTTCGAGTCCTGACAGGGACACAAACACTGCGCACTGGTGACGAGTCCCAAACAGGATAAAACACCGGTCCAGTGCTCTTTGTCGGTTATCACGAACATTTCTAGTTCAACTGTTTCCACAACTTTTTCCTGATTAAGTTGTGAACTCTATTTAACTAAAACTTTGAAGTTATTTATTCTAATGAAAGCTGACCACTTAAATATTCAATGGTGTTCGAATCAAACCAATTGTTTGAAGTAAAAGTGTCCAATTCTGTGATGGACATTATTTAATAGCTTGCTTGCTTTGTTGTTCTCAAGATTTAAAAGGGTCGGGTGAGAGAGGATTTCCCTTTCACACGATTTATACAAAGAATCCTTTTCGTCCAGGAGGAATATGCATTCAGAGTTTGCGTTCGTGAAGTTCAACTAAAGCTGATTGCTTTGCAACTAATCAAGAACCATCACACACACTCTCTCTCTCTCTGAGTTACATTCACGGGAGGGGGGGCAGAAGCTTTCCAATTGTAAAGAGAAGTTTTCACAATGCATCTACTTGACTGCCAACGGATTCGGTACTCATTCACGTGATAAATCGCTCTACGTAAATTGCGTTTTCGATCGCATTTGCGATCCGGGAAAATTCGTTTTTTTCCCAATATTTTTGGCATAACGGTCGTGCCGACGTTTTCTTCCACAAATCACGGAATAACATTTCAGTCTACCACAAAAAATGTATGGTCAGTCCTGCGTAGCCTGGAAAATTACATTGGACGCGATATAAACCAATCGCTTATCGTCTGTTTCAACTCGAGATAAACAGAAAATTGCATACGTGTGCATCAAAAGCAGTTGGGTGTAGATATCAGTTTTGCACACACACACACACACACACACACACACACACACACACACACACAAATCTCGTTTCTGATCAGATGTTTATTCGCCAGTACACGCACGAGGTATGACGTTGGAATGATGCCGTAAAGGAATTAAGTACGCGGAATTGACGCCTAATCCCCCAGACATAGCCTTGGGAGGAGTGGGTAGTATCGTCGAAAGTTTTCACAAACATTGACATGCAGATTAATTACGGATGAACGGAGTCGAATTAAAGGAATTCTTTGTCACTGATGGTGAAAACATTACAAGGAAGCAATGGATGTAGTCACATGGGTAATAGACGTTGAGAAACAAAAGGAGATGCCAAATCAGTGTTGACAAGAAAAAGATCAATCCATTCAGCTTGAAACGAATGTTACCATTTATAATGGATTTACACAAAACTCATCCTACTGATATTTCACATATCGCTGCTACTCATAACAATAGCAGTAGTATTCACTTCTATCTCAATAGCGGTTTTATCGTTATTACTTAAAATG